TAGAAATATCAAAAATAATTACAAGTGTGATCACTCCTACAAAAGAGGAAACGCCACCTGTTCTGGAAATATATGACTGGAGGACCTATTTAGGCATAAGAGTGACAGATAAGTGGAAATGTTTAAGATGAGTTGGCATCGGTCAGGAAAAAAACACAGGAGTATTCCAGAAAAGGGGAAGGAAGAATGTTTGGTGCAGGGTATTAAATGTTAGCAGGCTCTCAGCAAAGGAAGCCTGTCACATTTAAACATCTGAAATGAGACCAAGGTGGCTTTCTAGCCAGAGACAGAGACAGAGCAGGGCCTTCATTCCTTATTAGGTCAAAGACTAGGCAGGGAAAAGATCATGAAGGGTTTTGTAAACCATGTTAAAAGTTTCTAAACTTTATTTGAGGTTAAGAGCCACTGAAGTATTTTAAAGAAAGCTTACCAGTGCCTGCCAAGTGGAGAAGCCACTCTGCAGCTGCCATTGGACCAGGACAGACTGGATGGGGGAACACCAGAGGCTGATGCCCAGTGTAGAGGATGTTTAGGCAATGGTGTGGGTCATGGGGACGGATGGAAGTAAATGTCTTTAGGAGATGTTTAGGTTATTGAAATAAGATTTGGTAAATTAACATGAATGTGTAAGGAAGAAGAAGAAAATGGTTTCTGACTTCGACAAAAATAACTCTCAAAAGTTGCAGGTCCTGATGTTGTTAAATTTGTGTACCTGAGGAATGGAAATATATTACTTTACTTTTCATGTAAATCACTGTATACCATTTAGAATTTATAAATCCAAAGGTGAGAGAGAATTTAGGAAAACATAATCTGATTTGCCAGAAACAGTACCAACTTGGAAATGTAAGCTGGCCTTTTTACAAATGTGTGCAAATACACTTGCTGCCACAAGTGCTTTTTAAAAAGCAGCTTGCCTTTGGTATAGTCCTCTTGTGGACTCATCAATATACACTCCATGTTCAAGCATATTTGAATCATAATGTGGTCAAAATGGTATAAGTTTAGTTTAGTTCAGCATACATTTTAAAGTAATTCACCATGATATACATATGTTATGTTGGACATACAGTTTACATAATCTGGAGGAGAAAGTGTGAGGCACGTAATGAAGGTTTTAGTTCAGGTTCCTCGAGGAACTAGTTGTGGGCCTCAGTTTCTTCTTTCCCTGAATGGAAATAGTATGATCAATATGCTAGTCACCTCCCATTTACCTCTGGGTTTGCTTCAAGTCTCATTATGAATGGATATTTGAGTGTATATGTACATATGTAAGTCTACATCTATTTGCACACATAAATGTTATGTGGAAACTCAAATTTTTCTAAGCAATTCACACAAATTGGTTTTTGTTTTGAATTTTTGTTACTTTGCATCCTGTGTCTTAGTGTTTATCTGCCTATTACATTTCTTTTATAAATAGAAAATGTAGTATTTACTTTTTGGCAGGCACTTTTCCTACTTGAAATTAACTTATGAAGCATGAGGCATCAGGACACGCCACTGAGGCTACCATCTCTCAATATGTTCACTGCCTTGCTGGGCTTGTGTTTGTTTAACAGGGTGTCCTTGGTTACTAAGCATGTCTGCAGGTGGCAAGCAAACTAAGAATATATATAAGAGAATTATATGAGTGTCAAAAATATTTGATGTTTCATATGATCTTCAAAAAAATCTTTAAGTTATTATGCAGATTCAAGCATAGAAAACAATTCTTCAGCTTCATAAACAAAGTGAAATAAATTTTTAGTAATATATATTTTTCTAACTTACCCTTTCACTGGGGAACGATAATTTGTTTCCTTTCAGAAGTGGATTTTCTAGTGGTAAATTATTCCCAACCTTTGGCTCTACTCTTAATTTTTTCTTCTCTAATGTTTTATATGTTTGATGCTCACTGGTATTTCTATAGAGAGTAGGTAGGATGAGATCCAAGCCAATTTTACTTGCTACTTTAATAAAGGTTTGCTGTGGCAGCAATTTTTACTGTCAATTTAAAGAACATTTAAAGTTATGTGTATGTGTTACTCATACTATCAATGTGTCATCAGCTTATTCTGTTTAGAATCTGCTGTGTGATCAAGAGATAAAAACCATAACTGCACATACATGAAGACAAGGACTATCATTACTACCTGGTCAGCACACATTTTTACCAAGCATGACTCCGTTTCCAAGGTTGAAATGAGGATAAATGAAAAAAGGTCGAAAGCATGGGGATATTTGGGGGAAGGTTTTACTGATTACACATACTAACAGCTAATTAAAAATATAGCAAAAAGAAGATCACTTACAAAGTCAAAAAGATGAACAGGGTAAGACTAAGTGGAGGCCATAGTGAACTCCATCAGGTACCCTGACTTATGGGTATGTGCCTTGTGTAATGGAAGTAGACTAAGATGCTCAGTACTAGATATAAGCTAGGCATAAAGACATTGCTTGGAGTGGTCATATGAGTATTGCTTGGGAATAATAATAATATAGTGCCAGGCAGTCTAATGTTCAAAGGTTTAGAAATTACCAGCATATAGTAATGAAGCAATCATATTGATATACAATATCTTTCCTCTTTTTCCTAGAAGTAAAACACTACAAGAAAAAATTTAAGATTATGATATTATTGGGGATATTACTGAAGTGTGATTGAGGACAAGATAAGCTTTTATAAAAAGATTACTGAACACCAGTGGTTTGAATTTAAATGTAGTAATATATGCTGCATTTGTCATTCAGACTCCCACAGTATTTGCCATTTGGAGATATTAATCATAGTAAGATCCACTGCACTTATCCTGATCTTTAAAATGTTAATGGATAATTGAATTCTTTGAAATATTAGTACTGAGAGAACATATAGGATCAAATTGACTTATAAAAAGAGTGAATAGATCATAGACAAGATGCTTTAACTCTTTTCTATCCAAATACTAATCAATGAAATGTAATTGAGTCAAAATTTGCAAAATCATTTTCCAAAGCCTTGTGAATATTAAAGCATATTATGAAATTTTGCCACCCTAATAAACATTAATTGAAAAAACAGGAGTATGCCTACAATTTTTAGCAGAACTTGAAATTCTTCAAAATTAGAGAATAAAAAAATCAAGTAGATAGCGAGTAGATTAAACATCTACCATTTATTGAACACTCTACTGTATTCTTTATATGCATTACAAAACTCATAACAGTCTTCTGGGGTAGGTAGTGTTATTTTATAATAATGCCATTTAACAGATACAGAAATTGAGGCACAGAGAAATCAAATGGCTTAGCCAGGTTGACACAGCTAGTTGATTCTGATACCACCAGTCAAATCCAGGAAATCTGACACCAAAATTCATGGTATTGATTGTTAAATCATACATGAGATGAGCACAGACACATCAAATTCAACATGTCTGTTACTAGTGAAACTGGATAATAAAAGAGAAGCTAGCTTATTAGGAAACAATAATCCTAATAAAGGATTAAAATTGATCCCCTAATAATAATTGGGGATCAGTTTTATTGGTTATAATTGCTGTAAAAATGAAATAGATTAAATATTGCAAGTAATGAGTAAGCACTGGTTTTATCGAATGCCTGTTACAAGCTTAGTGTCATGCAATGGGCTGCTACACAGATATGCAGTAGGAAATATAGCAGCAAAATACCTGCTGAAAAATACTAGAAGTTCAGTTAGAGGTTATGGCAAATGAGGTACAGATACTCCATGACTTATGATGGTTATGTCCCAGTAAACCTGTTGTAAGTTGAAGATACTGGTTGTCAAAGATGAATTTAATATACCTAACTTACCAACAATAGTAGATTAGCCTAACTTATCCTAATGTGCTCAGCACACAATATCCAAAAATCTCTGGTAACCAAGAACACTGGAGAGTACCTGTTGTTTATCATTTTGATTGCTTGGCTGACTGGGAGCTAGCTGTGCTCCCTGTGGCTGACCAGCAATGCAAAGTATAGAACTGCATGTCACTAGCCCAAGGGGGAAAGATCAAAAATCAAACTCTGAAGTGTGATTTCTACCAGATACGTGTTGCTTTTGCACCATTGCAAAGTTGGGGAAGAAAATCAGAAGCCACCCATAAACCAGGATCTGTCTGTATATTTGATTATCAACATCATAGAAATGATGCTTAAAGCAATTTACAAACTGAGGTAACTTGGACAGATAGATGTGATTATCAGGTCAAAATTCTAAGTTAGAAGTGTTGTAGTAAAGAAGTGACTCGGAATATGATTTTTACTTGTAAAATTCTAAATAATGTGAAGGCTGATATACTAAACTGAGAAAAGAATGGTAAACAAGGAAGAGAGAAGTATGACCTACATTACCATCTGTTGGGGAAATGAACATCTGTCATGTTGAATGAGATATGAAGTTTGGAAATTCCCAGTGAATCTCAACAGCCAGCACTACTGTTTAAGAGCAAAAACAGATTTCAAGCTCAATTTAGCTTTCTTGTTTTAATTTAGAAAAGATATTTATAGAAGGAGAAAAAATAATCCTCTAATAAATTATAAAGCATGCCTTTTAAGAATCCCAGATGTAATTTTAGATCAAATTAGAATGGCATTGTGCTAGAGAAAGAATACTGTCAAAACATGTCTCTGAGTAGATTTTATGCTCTCCAGAAGCATCTTGTTTTCTGACTGATGAATCCATGCATGTCAGAAGGTATGGTGGCAAACATCGTACCTGCAATTTAGTCTCAGCTGTAAAATGGTGTCAGTTATTGTAAACATTTGACTAATTGGGTCTAAATATTCTAGTCTGTGAAGTGGATGAGTTTGGACTAAGTAATTCTCAAGAGTACATTCAATTGCTCTCCTATTTATGTTGTGCACTTACTAAGGAAAAAATACCCTGTTCATAATTGCATACTTGAAATAATATATATTTTATAGATGGAAATTGTGGTCCTAGAACTTTCTAATGCTTTATTACTATTTTACTTTTTTTGAAATCTTACATCAGTATTATTTCTCTCCTTTAGGGTGGAGTTAATGGGTTGACGGGAGAGCTGGAATTTGGAGACAATGGAGGCAATCCCAATGTCCACTTTGAAATTCTTGGAACCAACTATGGAGAAGAGCTGGGCCGAGGCATTCGCAAAGTAAGACCAGAAATATTGATGAATATGCTTTTCCCGTAGTAGCTATGGTTTTGTTTGTCTTCATACAATATGATCACAGTATCCATTGCAGTCCCCATTGTAGTTTAAAAGACAAGAAAGAGTGAGAATTTGGCATTTAAATGACCTTACATACTTACCAGAAGTATTAATCAACGATTCTATTTATGCCTTAGAATAATTTAAAGGAAGAAAGATAATCTGATGGTTTCCTAGGGAACTAGCATAATTTTTCACTTATTATAATAATTTTATAAAGTAATGAATTTAATATTTATACAAGCATAGCTACTTGGTTTTAACATGCACAATATCAGAATAAGAGCTTAGGGACATTTTGTATAGTAAGAATGAAATTCTGCTACAAACCTGTGACATTTCAGTATTTCAGTTTCTATATGTGCCATGCATAAGTAGAAAATGGCTTGTAGGAAATGAGTTCTTGTTATATACTTCAGATCACATGTAAGAAGTTGAGCACAATAAAGAATGTTTTGTGAACTACTGGGACAATAACTTTCTCAAGGAGAAATATAAAAGCCCTTGGAGTAATGATTTCTGTAGTTTGAATTTGCCATTTTAATGTTTGCAGTGGGGGAAAATCCAAGGTAACTGAATATGCATACAAAGTTCATAAGTATAAATTTCTAACTGCATAAAGTTGCTGCATCAAGAGGTCATTCAGTAGGTGTCTCTTTGCAGTGCTGATGTGTAGGATACAGAGAAACTAAGACAAAATGAAGTTAGGAGTTGTTCTAATCAGTAATAAAAACCTCTCAGTAAATTTACATTAGAGGAGTTAAGACTATATTAATGTGTTTTTAATTAATGTTTTATAAGGAAGCATGGCAAACAGATAACTGCATAAAATACAAGGATAGTTTACTGATTCATATTAAAGGAAACAACTACTACTATGGTCAAGAAATAGAACACCTCAAGCATTCTAAATACCCCATATATTTCATTCCTAACCTCCATTCTGAGGGGTATGACTAATCAATCTGAATTTTATGATACTCATTTATTTAGTTTTAGATATCATCTCATCACCTGTATGTGCATTCTTATAACATAAGAGTTTTGCCAAATATTTTAACTTGATAACAGTCTCAGTATAGCATATATTCTTCTTTGTTCAATATTTTTATTATTCATTCTTGTTGCATGTAGTTATAGTTTATTCATTTATATTGCTGCCACATTGTCTTCTGTTCTTCAAATTGTCACTCTCTACTGTGGTCTGTTTCCACATTTAAGCTATTATAAACAATGCAGTTATGAATATTCTTGGACATGTACCTTGAATATATATACTCCTGTACTTGTGCATGTAGCTGTAGGTTTTGTATCCTGGAGTAGAATTGCTGTGATATAAGAAAATATACCTTGAACTTTACCAGGTAATTTTAAAGCCATTTTCTTAGAGATTTGCCAATTTGCATATTACCAGTAGGTGAATGAGTTCTCATTGCATAAAGTTCTCACCAGATCTTGTTTTTTTCAGACTTTATAATTGTATTAAGTTATTGAATATATAATGATATATCCTGATGGTTTCAATTTCCTTTTCCCTGATTATAAAAATATTATGGCATGTTTCCCTATAACCTTTGGCTGTCTTTAGATTTATTTTTGAGTTCATTGCCAAGTCAAGTCTTCTGGCCATTTTCTATTGAGTTGCCTTGTTTTTATAATTGATTCTATAGAATATAATATATTTTGACTATTAGTCTTTTGTTATTTAAATATGTTGTAAATGGTTTCCTTTCTGTGTATTTTATTTTCATTTTATTCACAATAACTTTAAATTGAGCAGAATCATGAATTTTCATCCTTATGATCATTACCATGTAGCCTTATTCAAGAAATCACTTCCTACTGCCAGAATCATAAAAAAATATATGTTCAAATATATCCCAAGGCTTTCTAACGCTTCCTTTTGTATTGAAGCCTCTGTCTATCTGGAATTTCTTTTTAATATTTGAAGAAAGAAATAATTATAATTTCACTCTTTCATATAGTACCATGCTTACTTGTTTTTATTGAGACTTAATTTAAATAGAATAAAATTTTAAGTGTACAATGGCTTCCCATTGGTTACATTTACCAATGTGACCACCACCCTGATCAAGTTAGAGATTGTTCCCATCATCCAGGATGTCCCAGTATTCCTATTTCTTCTCTTAAGAACACAGGTAGATTTACCTGGCCTGGATATTCCTAAGAAAATGAATAGTGTAGTATATTGTCATTGGTATCTTCTTTCTCTCAACATTTTTGGCCTGAATCATTGTGCTTAAAGGGATTGTATCTGTAGACAAATAAGTTTTCTCCTGTGCAAAGTCAAACAAATAGTGTAAGTTCCCATGAGTGTGCCCTGATATCATTGTTGGAAAGGGGCCTTGCTAGTTCTCAATTAATTAGCAGACACTTTGGAGTAGGAACAAGATGATGAATCTCAATAGCCACCATCTGACCAAGTAAGGAAACTGTGAATACTCTCTGCTGACCAGACCCCTGGCCATCTGTGAATTCTTCCCAGGGTGAGAGACTCAGTACTATCAATCAGTTATAGCAAGTCCCAACACTATCCTTTCAATTAACATTGTGTTAAAGCCTGAGAATAGGGTTAATCTGTCCTCACTTTTGACATGAAAGAAGTATTTATACAATGACAGTTTATAAGTGACTTGTGAAAAAGGCAATACAGACTAGGAAATGCTGCACAGAGATAGCAGGTGAGAGATCTAAGTTCCAGTTCTGGGTTTTTTTTGTGGGTTTTTTTTTGCTGTTGCTTGTTTGATTTTGTTTCTTAATTCCCTGTTAGCTTTTGAACAAAAGTTCCATTTGCCTTATAAAATATGATGGAGGTTGTCTTCTATTTTTCTATTCTCTATGAGATATATAAAATTGGAAGAATTTCTTCTGTGAATGTTTGATCGATTACCCTAATAAGGCTAGCTTGTGGCAATTTATTTCTTTTTACTACTGATTCTATTTTTTCATGATAATTAAATAAAAGTCAGATTTTACAATTCTTCTTGTCTATATGTATTGGTGTTAAACTACTAATAATATCTCACTGTTTTAAATATCTGAAATATTTGGAGATCTGAATTTTTCATTTTTTAATAATTTAGGTAAAGGAAAAATTTAAATTATTATTATAAAAACTTCTACTTCTAATAATGCATTCTCTCTTAATAAATATCTTGTCTGCCATTCATGGAGCTAAACCAAGTTCCTTTCTGTTACTATGTCGATGAATGGCATTTCTTTTTACTATTCTCTTACTTTCAGCCTTTTGGTTTCCTTTTGTTCCCACATGTAATTTTTATAAAAAGTATATAATTGATTATTGGATGCAAATTTGATGATTTATGCTCTCAAGCTAGAACATTTTACATATTTATATGAGATGTATCTACTATATTTCAGTTTAAGTCTACCATCTTGTACATTCTACTATTTTGTATATTCTATTCACCTTTCATATCCTAGGTTCCTTGTCTCTCTTTCTTACCTACTTTGGATTGTTAGTATATATAAGGTGGGAAAAAGTAGTTTTACAGTTGTTTGTATGAAGAGTAATACAATAATTAATTAATAAATGTAAGAATAAAGTCTGTTTCATTGCAAAACTACTTTTGCCCAACCCTGTATATTTTTTTACTTTCCTCATACCCCTTCTACTAATTTTCAAGTTATATTTTTATTTTATTTATATAATATTTCCCCTAGAATTTAAAACATACATACTTAATTTATCAATATCTAAAATTAATCAACTGCTTTGTCTTCCTCAGAGATAATGAACATGCTTAGAATATTTTAACTCATTTATTAAATGTATACACCCCTTAATTACAGGCTATTATTGTCAATTTTTTTTATGTCATCTTTTTTATTGGGAAAGTATTACCATTATTTTGTGCATTAAGTATTTATTGACCTCTACCCATGTATTTTTTACTTTCTTTGATTTTTTTTGTATAGAAGTATAAGGAAAAATGTTTGGCTTTATTAGTAAGTAAATCATGTTCTTTTTTTAAAATTTTTTAAATATATTTTATTAATTATGCCATTACCGTTGTTCTACTTCTCCCTTTCATTCCCCTCCACCTTGCACACCCCTCTCCCACCATTCCCCCCCTTTAGTTTATGTCCATGTGTCACAAGTTCTTTAGATTCTATATTTCCCCTACTATTCTTGCCCTCCCCCTATCTATTTTCTACCTACCATCTATGCTACTTATTTTCTGTACCTTCTCCCCCCTTCTCCTACTCCCCTGTTGCTAACCCTCCATGTGACCTTCATTCCTATGGTTCTGCTCCTGATCTAGCTGTCCTCTTAGTTTGCTTTTGTTTTAGGTGTGGTTCTTAATAACTGTGAGTTTGCTGTCCTTTCACTGTTCATCTTTTTTATCTTCTTTTTCTTAGGTAAGTCCCTTTAACATTTCATATAATAAAGGCTTGGTGATGATGAACTCCTTTAACTTGACCTTATCTGAGAAGCACTTTATCTGCCCTTCCATTCTAAATGAGAGCTTTTCTGGATAGATCAATCTTGGATGTAGGTCTTTGGATTTTGACTTGGAATACTTCTTTCCAGCCTCTTCTTGCCTGTAAGGTCTCTTTTGAGAAAGCAGCTGACAGTCTGATGGGAACTCCTTTGTAGGTGACTGTCCCCTTATCTCTTGCTGCTTCTAGGATTCTCTCCTTCATTTTAATCTTGGCTAATTTAATAACAGTGTGCTTTGGTGTGTTCCTTCTTGGGTCTAACTTCTTTGGGACTCTCTGAGCTTCCTGGATTTCCTGGAAGTCTATTTCCTTTGCCATATTGGGGAAGTTCTCCTTTATTATTTGTTCAAATAAGTGTTCCACTTGTGGCTGTTCCTCTTCCCCTTCTGGTACCCCGATAATTCGGATGTTGGAATGTTTAAAGATGTCCTGAAGGTTCCTAAGCCTCTCCTCATTTT